AGCCCCTAGATTACACCCTGAACCCTATAGTAACCCTTTTAAAGGAACCCTATTCTGAATAGTTCCTAAACCCTAAACCCTAAACCTTAAACCATTACCAGAACCTGAGTTTTCAGCCGAGGCTTGGTGTGGAGAAGGGCTTGGTGGGCATGTATGTGGGCTGGGTCGAGAAGTCCCTGGTGGGCATGTGGAGGCTTTGGGGGCCAGTTTAGGGTTTAGGGTTTAGGGTTTAGGGTTTAGGGTTTAGGGTTTAAGGCCTTAGGGTTTAGGGGTTTATAGGGTTTAGGGGTTTAGGGTTGCGGGTTTTATTGGGGGCTTAGGGTTTGGCTTAAGTTGGGGGTCTGGGGTGCGGGCCAGGGCCTGGCCGGAGTCACGATAGATCTTCCTGTTTCCGGTCTTCGTTGTTGCACTTCAGTGTTTTTTGCCGTCACCTCTGCCACAGTGTTTTCTCCTCCGACTTTGCCCGTAAGCTCGACACCTCCACCCTAAATCCCGAATCCGCACCGAAAAAGCACCCTAAACCCTAAACCCCCCTAAACCCTGGTGGAGTTCAGGCGTGTAGAGAAGTCAGTAGCCTTGGCCCTGGGCATTGCAGGGGTGCCTTGAACCAGCAGTTGATCTTCAGGAGGGTGGGGTTCGTGGGTTTCGAGTTCATGGTTCCTCGTTGAAGAGATCCTTTGAAGCTGTTCTTTCTTTGGGGGGGGGGTTATGGGGTTCGGGGTTTGAGGATTTTTGAGTGTGGAGTCCGAGATTGAGCCTTGGGATTTGAGGTTTTGTGGTTCACGGGTGGGACTTGGTGGGGTTTCGGATGTCTACGTTTGGTGATTTAAGGGTTGAGGCTGGAGCTCGACGGATTGGCATGGTGTTGTAGTTGGATTGTGGGTTTATGGCTGTAGCGGCCCGCAGCTATCTTGCATGGCTGCGTGCTGAATGGTGCGACTCTATCGGACACAGCCTTAGTTGCAAAATAGAAGCCTAACTAAATACCAACATTTTTCCTCAGCGCCCTATGTTCTAATCGTACAATACGGAGCCCGAAGCCCTATCCCAGAGGCTCCATATAGGCTACCATTATGGAATCAGGTCCCAAAAGACCATACCTTTAATGGCTTTCATAATTTCATAATGGTAGTCTATTTGGAGCCTCTGGGTATGCTAAATATTATGGCCCCCACATTAGACAAGGACGAGAGCCGGCTTCGCCGGCATGGCATTGGTCGTCGTGGTCGTCGTCGTCCTCGTGCTCGTTCTAGCCTTCGTAGCTGTAGCAGCTGTAGTAGGAGTAGTAGTAGTAGTAGTAGTAGTAGCAATAGCAGTAGTAGGCAACAGCAGCAGCAGTAGAACTAACCGCGGAGCCAGACATGCACAGCACTTTGCAATATAAGAACTCAGATTCGACAAAATGCACAGGCGCAACATTCTCGCTGGACTGGGCTTTGGCGTCTCCAACGGCATCATGCCGCTCGGCTTAGCCTTCAAGTTCCGAGCTCAGAAACCGTCGGGAACACGATGGGCGATGGCCTGTGAACGATTCCAGTGTTTCCGGGTCGTGGTGGCAGTTGTTGTGGGCGTGGTTTGTCGTCGCGGGCCGTGCAACAGCGACGAAGAGAAGGACAGTTCAACCCGCATGAATCAGGCATGAACAACCTCAGCTGACTTCGAGCATTGGCCTGAAATCTTGTAGCGAATTGTAGCTGGCTTTGTTGTCGTTTTCTTATTATTGTTACGGTTACTTTTACGACTACCGATTACCAATAGTAACAATATTACTGGCAGCATTTATGATTACATCATTATTCTGATTGTTTCTATTGCTATTATGTTTACCGCGTTTTCGATGTTTATCATTGTTATTGTTGTTACTATGGTCCTGGTTATTTCTATTGATATTATTGTTTCTATCGGCGGGAAGCTACTGGGGGGGGGTGGGTTTAAAGTTTAGGGTTTAGGGGAAGAATGCCCGGAAGGGTTTTAACCCAATAGCGAAGCAAAACTTTCAGTGGAAGGGAAACAGGCAGAAGCTGAATACTCAACATTCACATATTCCCCACAAGGTACGAGCAACTGGAACGGCTGGAAGATCAACGACGATCACCAAATTCATGGTAGCCCGCACCACCACCACCACCGCCATCATCATCATCATCATCATCACTGCCACCACCACGATCATCATCATCATCATTCTAGTCCCGGCTGGTCGCTTCGTTCTTCTTCCCACTAATGGTCACGATCCTCAGTACAGCCGCAGCAAGTTCGAAGCCTCCGGCACACCTCAACCATGTATTCTGAGCCGTCGTCAAAGGGTTCAAGGGCAGTCGTTGCATGAGCTCCTAGGGTTTGAACTTTTGGCGGTAGAGTTGGTCTTTTAGTCGGATCTGCATTAGTATGGCTAAAGAGAACTACCCAAATCCTAAACCCACCCTAACCCCAAAACAGCACGGAGTTTGATACAGAAGCTCCCCTGACTGGAGAGCAAGTCTGCCTTTTAAGCCAAGGT